GAGCTTCTCCTTTTACAAATCCCGTATTTACGCTCGGTGGAAAAAGTTCGTCAATTACAAGGTCTCTGTCTCTCTAATATGCGTTTGCATGTCAAGGGTCAATTCACAGTTGAATAACTCGCGTCTACGAATATAATAACTGACACTGAAATTATTCATCCCGCCATTGGTTGTGAGTGTAACTGTTGCCATTTGTGTGGAGATTCTTAGGCAGATTGCAGTTTCGAATCTTTCTAAGCAACGTCAGTTGCCTCCTAAGAACGAATTCGTCACGGAGGAATGACAGGAGTCGCGCAGGCCCGTCAAACGTTTTAACTTTCGAAGGAATGTTTTTTGTTGGAGGAGTGTAAAGTATCATATGTGAGCAGTTCAACCTGATTTTTTGTGGTGTGTCATGATACGACTGAGTCAGATAGATCGGTGAATTTTGGTCATGTCGCCCATCGGTAAATTAAAATGGTTTGCAATCTTCGATTGTATTTTTTAGGGTGCATTGACGCGATCGTCAAAGATGATAACCTTTCTATTTCCCATCAGATACTCTGATTTATTCATGATATCATCCGGCTCCATAATTTCTAATATGTTGTAACTGACTTTCTGTGAAATATAATTCACAAACTCTTCTAAATCCTGTATTTTATCTTGGTTATGGTTGGGTGTATACAGATATATTTTCTCATAAACAACCAAAGGCAGTCTCAACATATTCATAACAGCGTTTGTCTTTCCCCTCCCACTCGCCCCTGCTACAAGCATTCTGTAGTCTTCGTCCAAAAAATCATTCGATCTTCGTTTAGGTTTTTCATTCACATGAGTATCAAAAATTTTCAATTTCACCATTTATCATTATTTTTCATTTTATTCACCTCAAAAAGCTAAAAAGCTGAAAGGCTAAAAAAAGCTAAAATGCTAAAAAAGCAAGGAAGCTAGATAAAAGCTAAAAAAAGCTAAAAAGCGAAAAAAAACACGAAAGCTAGGAAGCTAAGATAAAAGCTAAAAATCTTATCAAAAAAAGTAATAAAAAAATGACTTAAAGAATATGAAAATCTAGATAAAGCCATGCAACTTACAAGTCTTGAAAAGCTCAACAAAGAAACTATAATTTTTCACGAAGCAGTGAGAGAAACACGAAAGAAATGAGATCATAGAAAAATTACATTGTGGGTGGTTTGAGTTGCAAGTTGGAACTCTTAATCTGTCAGTGATTTATTTGTGGGACATTAAATATGTCTTATTAACCAAGCACGAGGGCCATCCTGGGAGAATATCGGCCTGAGGTCTTGACAGTACGGGCCGAGTGCAGCGAGGTTCGTACAAAAAAGACCGAGGGCCGATATTCCTCCAGTACGGTCCCAAGCAAGCTTGGTTAATAAGAGATTTATTATACGACTGAAGTTCAAAGC